TCAGGTTGTGATCTCTTGGTTTCGTGAGTTCGAGCCCCGTCTCAGGCTCTGTGCTAGTAGTGCAGAGCCTGCTTGGGATTCTCTCTCTCCCTCTCTCTCTGCCCCTCCTCCACTTATGCTCTCTCTATCTCTCTCAAAATAAATAAACTTAAAAAAAAGAAACACAGTATCTGTATGTGATCTATAGTTTTAAAAATACAATGTGGTCAAAATATATTTGTAGAAGTCTACAAAAGAATCACAGTATGTGATTTTGTTCCATACTATCTTTTTTAAGTTCTAAAATCAATTGCAAAACTTCTCAGTTTTTCAGGTGGTACTTTTTTCTCCATTGCGTGTGAAGAGACATTTCAATGTTTTGAATCTGGGTAGAACATCATCTAAAAGATTTCTTCTATTCTATGTTAATCCTAGAAATATTAATAGTTTTTAAAATGTATTGCTGCAAAAGTCAACTTTATTGAGTGATTAGTGAGCCAGCATTAGCTTCCCAGGGCTTTGGCAAAATCAAGCTCTCTCTCCCTTCTGTCTGTTGCTCTTTCTCTCATTGTTTATTTTAGCCTACCATTGAAAAATATTCAGAGATCACTAACTATAATTATTCAACTGAATTTTTAAATTCTATTTCTTAAAGTAAAACATTAGTAGAAATTTTTTACTTATCTTACTTAAAGATTTTTTTTTTGTATGTCTATACAATAAAATACCATGCAACTATTTTAAAGGAAGGAAGTTTATCTTTGTTTCATTACCATGTGTGTCTACATTATATTATGAAGTAAAACAAAAGGGACAGGGTAGAGTGCATATAGTAAAAATAGTAAAAATTCATTTTCTTCCTATATACATATTTATGTAAAAATCCAGAAAGATAGAAGACAAAATGTAAGTACTGATTGCCTGTGGGTGGTTAGGATTCCAGCTGATTTTTATTTTCTTTGTTAACCTTTTAAAATGTTTTCTGGCAATGAGCAGATATTGATGTTGTCATTGGCAAAATGCATTACATTAGAATCAGTCTTTAATGGAGAGAGTTGAGCATGGTGGAGAGGACAATGATAAAATAGATTGCTATATGTTATGAAAGTGCCATGATATTCTTTCTCTCCCTTTAGATGGTAATTCTTAAAACTCATAAAATCCAAGTGAAAACCAAAAGGGGGAACTTGATTCTCGTGAAGGCGAGAGGCCTTTCTACCTGTACCCTAATAGGCTATCCCTCACTTTCTGTCCAAAGTTCAGTGACCCCTTGCCCACTGCCCCGAGGGTAGGGTGGCTCTTCCAGCAGGGATATTGAATTAATCCATTACACTTTCACATCGTTTTACAGCCCTTACATCTATTAGAGTTGTTTTTTTCTCTCCTCATTCTGATGCATGAAACTTGAGAGCAGATTTTGATTGCATGTTCAATGGGACACCAAGCCTTACTTCCTCTTTCTCTGTAATGTCCACCGCCTCTCCACCCCCCCACCACCCGTCGCACTGCCATAACCAATCAGCAGCCTCTTGCCCTCCACTGCTTAGGGAAATATAAGACCCCTAACAGCTCTTAACCCTCTTTTCCCCCCTTACTGTTATTCACAAGCCCACCTGATTCATCTTTCTAAAATGTTACTTTATATATGTCACTCTTCTCTTGAAAAATCTGTAACTCTCTCTAACAGGAAGAACAAAATCTATAGCTCAGAATTCAAAGCCCTCCATAATCTAATCTCACTCTTTGGACAGCTTTGTCTGACCCAAAGCCCCTCAATAAAGCCTCTGTTCCATGATCACAACTGACTCAGAGTTGGCCTTGAACTTCAACAATTCCAACTGTTGGCTCTACTGTTTGCTCTGCTTGGAATGACTTACCTTGTGGTTTCCACCAGACTCTCCCTTACAATGTGAAGCCAGCTTTAGATTTCCACACTTAAAATGTTCCTAGCTTACTTGATCCCTCCTCTTCCTTTCCTAAAATCCTGGGCTACTTACTCATTCAGTTCTGTGTCTTATGTTTCTTGACTCCTTTGTGGTGTGCGCGGATGTTTCTCTCCAGCAAAATAGCAATGCCTTAAGAGCAAGAGCTGTGTTTTATCATTTGCATTTTAAAATCACTTAAAACTGTGCCTCTTCAGTAATCTCTTAAGAGTTGGCACTCAATGAATGAGTATTTCTCAATTATTTGAAACATTAAACAGCATGTTTTCTAAGCATTTTGGGAGAGAAACATGTGCAAAGATAGAACAGCCTACATTTTAATTTTTATATATAATAACTAAGAATAAAATCTAAGACACATCAGTAATATTTGAGCTAACCTCTATGCAAACCACAGAGGTAAGTGTGCCTTTTGCTCAACTTCCTATTTCTGAAAATGTCCTTTTCTCATTGAGGGCGTTTAAATGGAGCATTTAAAAAGTTTGCTCAAAACACACAATGACAGCTTGCCTCTAGCAGAAATAATACGTGCCCCTGCTTCTCTTTGTAAATAATTGAATTTGCCTCTGAAGTTCAAGAAGTTCAAGATTTCTTTTTGTATGTGGAACTGACTGCCTCTGTTTTCTCTTCACAAGCAGCGGACTATCATCTAAGGCAGGAGAAACGCTGTGCAATTGGGATTTGGTCGAGCAGGGAGGATAATAGAGATTTTCATGACTTCCACTGAAGAGTTATTTTTAAGTGTAGAGAACGCCTATCCCCATGCTGCATGGGCCTTTAGAAAATATTACTGGGATTGAAACGCAGTGGGGGCAGTTCCCATCACCTGGGAGAGCGGCGCCCGTGTGCGGGGCGCTGCTGCCACCTGCTGCATGCACACTGTCATGGAGGGGCTGCTGCTTGGGTCTCACAGCCCTAGGACACCACGTCCGTTCAATTAACATTCTGTGGGCATCTGAAATTTTTCTTCTCTTAGAGCCTGAGTGAATCCCAAAGGAAACTAGTCAAATCAGAAGACTCTGGGCCACCGAGGTGTCTAGGTCTGAACGACACCCAGAGAGGGCCAGTCTGCCCAGTGGCCTCTGCACGGGTGCCTTGGGCAGCCCAACCCCAGTGAGACGCAAGGACTCCATCTGTAGCTCTGGAAAATAAGTGATCTTTTCCCTTTTTTCTGAATTTGAGGGATTTTTTTTTCCCTGAAAAGGTGTTTTAGTTTAAAGCAATAGGAGACAGGAGACCACTAAATGCTTCGAGAGGACAGATTGTTTTTAGAGAATTCAGTAAGTTTAGATTTTTATTGATTTCATGTAGGTACATTCCTGATAATATGACAGGTGGAGTGAGATAACCTAAATCCCTCCCCAGGCTTGTAATGGGAACACCACCGGCAGGTCCAGATCTTCTTAGCCCATGTTTGCCACTGTAGTCCATCGCTGTTATTTACAAGAATGTCCAGGGGTAAAGGGGAAGATAGGAAGGCAGGGGTAAAGGGGGGGACATGAAGGCACTGAGAGCAGCGATACGTCCTGTCTTTCGGTCAAAGTCTCTGCAGTCTGCAGCCTCCCTGAAAACATCCCTGTCAGCACCACCTGACCTCGCCCCTGCAGGTCACACCCCTGAAACTAAGTGTGGAGATGGGGATGGGGGTGGGAATAAAGGTCTGGGGAGCACTGGGCTAGGAAATAAGTAACTCCATCCTCTGGCCTTTACAAGAAACATCATTAGCTTTGTAGTGATGAATTCGGATGACAGTCGTCATGGCAACTGTTTGCAGTGGTGGTGTAGAGGGGAGCCTGGACATCCGGGGGGACAGTAGCCCTTGTTTAACCACATGCACATCTCTGTTCCCCCGGTTACATTCTGGTCTCCTCAATGGCAGAGGTGATGCCTTATATCTTAGCATCATCCATATTACTCCCAAGTCCTTGCAGAGGGACAGATCGGTATATACAAGGTAGATCAGTACACCATGATGTCACGGTACACGATGGCAATATACATGATGACAACCTGGCCAGTATCCTCTCCCTGTAAAGAGTAACCACCTCAGGAACACAGCTCAGCCTTCTTGTTTGCCTTCAGGCTTGCTGGCTGATGCCTTTACTGTGTTAGTAAAACTAGAGTCACAGAATATTTCACCAGTTGTTCATATGGTTATATGTAAACACATATATTTATTCATTTTTACTCTTCATTCATCAACCTTATGCTGTAGTCCTCAGCCTAATGCATGTTTTCTTGGGTCTGGAAGGCCTATTTTATCTCCAGCTGGAAAACCAATATCTGGCATCATATCCGGCAGGGAAGTCATCATATACTAGGACCCTTCCCTGAACCCCAGTCTGTCTTCTGTAAATGGAGGCAGCTGGGCAGATATCACAGGCGTGGTTGCTGGCTGAGATAGGAGATTCTTTGCCATTGGATTCAGATTGTTTCCGCCTTGCTCTCTCTGGTTTTTGGCTGAGGCACGGGCAAGTTCTTCTGCTCTCAGCAAAAAAGCCCTCCAGCCAGCTGGGTGGGAGGCTTCTCTGCCTGACCTCCAGCCTCGCCCAGATGGGGGTAGAAAAGGAACCCTCCCTCCTCTACACCCCCCCCCCAGGAAATGAAGGTTTTCCTGAAATAGGGGTGACAATTTACAATTGAGCAGAAAAATGGATATGAAAGACACTAAGCTCACATTTGTTAAATGACTTTGTGCTCTTGAAAAGAAATGTATAAAAAGCACATTATGAGTCGCTCTGCATGATTTCCTTTGTTTGGATTTTAGAAGCAGCTTGACTGACGCAGAGATCCTGAAGGAGAGAATCTTTGGATCCTGAGAAGTCTTTTAACGAAGGTGATACACAAAATTTTAGAGAACAATTTCAACATTGTTCTGTTGAAGGTTATACTTAGCTCTGAACCACATTACTTTCCTGTCTACGTTTCATTTCCTGGGGTCTTGCCAAGTGATAAACAGACCCAGGCGTGCAGCAGGTTTGGGGTTTTTCTGCACAAAGAGGGTAGCTGGAGTTTGCTTCAAGGCATCAATTGACTTCTGTGATCGTGGAGATGCTGGCGTGAGGCCTTCAGGAGACGATGGAGAAAAAATGGACATATTGTGCTGTCTGTTCCATCATCCAGATACATTTTGTCAGGGGTAAGGCTTCCACTTGTCCTTTCTTGTCAGATCGGCTGCTTTCGGGGTGAGTGGGGCCTCTGTTCATTTAAAATGCGTGCGACTGCGGCTGACATTGATCACTGAAGGCAGATCGTTGCTAAGGTTTTCAGTTACGTATTTGAGTGGCAGCTTTCGCAGAGATGTTAAGAGTCCAGAAATGATTACTAACGAACACTCAAAACGAGAAGGGAGTGAATAGTTTGTGTCACTGCTCTGAGACATTTTCACCCATTTCCTTCTGAAGAGGACCTCTGGAGTAACTGGGAAATTGTGCTTCTTGGAAATGAAATGCTCTCCAAATGGTAGTGAGAACAACTCCAGAATACTAAAAAAAAATCACAAAGCCGTCAGTGCTCTGAGATCCTCGCTCATCTTTCTCTCTCTCTCAAGGATCCTGTTTCTTTTGTATGGAACAAGCATTCCTCCTCCAAATAGCTAACGTCTTTGGGAGTTGAACACATGTTGAATTTTAATGCAGCATGTGTAGGTAAGGACCCAGAAGACAAAGGAGGGTCCTTATGACAGTGGGAACCCGTGTCTTCAGGGCCTATTTAAAAAAAAAAAAAAACAAACACGAGGAAAGATTAGTTCTGCATTCCATAGCATGGGAGTATTATAGTGAGCTTGAGTGTCTTAAGAATTAACTGTGCTTTACAGATATCGCAACGAAGATCCTAAGAAGAATTTCTAAATCAAAGGAGACTTTGGAATACAGTGCTGTGGATAGGATCAGAGTCGTATTATCAGGCAAAAGAGAGCTTACAGGGAACGACATTAAACTGTACTAACCTCTGTCCTACCCAAACTTTTGAATCCATAAAAGTGTAATAATTCCCATTTGTCAAGTACCTTAGAGAGCCTTGTTTCTTCTCCGTTGCTTGTCATCTTTTTATCTTTTTCCTTTGTGAGCTTCAGTGGGACTTGTCATAATAGTATATCATTCCTGTAACAGTGTTCCATTAACGCTAAAATGGAGGCCTCCACTATTGAAGGCATGTCAAAGGCTCAATGCTTAACATATTTTAAGTGCCTTATACCATGTGGTCAGAGAGCTGATGGGAGAGAATCTTCTTCTTTTATGTCTAGTATTTCAAAGTGTTGATTATTGATGATCCTGACCATAGTTTATCTTTAGTGGACACCCTGAGGTATTTTCTCTCTTTCTCCCCTCAGGAGCCCCAACTGCAGGAAAATAAAGGTCCTTTTGATCTTCATATATTGAATGTCAAATTTCTTAGTCTTCTCAACCAATTTGGGAGGCAGTTTGGAGGTTATGAAGGTTACAGAAAGAGCACAGACTCTAGGCAACCAAATTCAGGGTCTTTTACTGTGAGGTGTGACTTTAAGCAAAGCACTTACTCATCTTGTGCCTCAGTTTCGTCTTTGGTAGAGGGTTAACAACATCATTCTTTGGTATGTGAGAAGGATTAAATAGTCTATTTAAAAGCCTCTTGAGAACATACATTTTTATTTTTATTTTTTTATTTTTATTTTATTTTATTTTTTAAATGTTTATTTATTTTTGAGACAGAGAGAGACAGAGCATGAACGGGGGAGGGTCAGAGAGAGAGGGAGACACAGAATCGGAAACAGGCTCCAGGCTCTGAGCTGTCAGCAGAGAGCCCGACGCGGGGCTCGAACTCACGGACCGTGAGATCATGACCTGAGCCGAAGTCGGACGCTTAACCGACTGAGCCACCCAGGCACCCCTGAAGAACATACATTTTTAAAACAGCTACACACGTATCAGTTATGTTTTCAGTTTCAGAAAATATTATTTGTGTGTTATATGCAGCTGTTGATTCATCAAACCAACCAAAACCAAAACAAAACAAAACCAGCCCATTAGAGTCATTGCAAAGATAGCTGTCATAATGTTTGCTGGTGGGCTTCAGGTTCTAAATAGGCTTAATTTTATTCGCAGGTAGAGAACTTAAATTATTCTTTGGACAGACCAACAGACAAAGAGATCAATATTCCCCTAGCGTCTTTAATCAAATGCCTCCTCATTTGCATTGAGTCTCTGCTTTACTGTCAGGGTCACGCACAAGCTCTCTCCTCTACCTAAGGCAACCAGAGAAAAAAATTCCTCAGTTGCTCACCTCACCGAAGTGACCAAGCTTTTTAAATAAGAGTCATTCCACATGAATCACGCAAACTGATGGCTCATGTTCCCTTTTCAGGAGTATGGGGAAAAGCATCCAATGAAGAAGACATCTATGCTTTCCCTGGCTCTGATGTCAACTTGACCTGCCAAACATGGAAGAAAGACTTGTTGGTACAGATGCAATGGTCCAAGGTCACTGACAAGTTGGACCTGATTGCTCTTTATCATCCCCAATATGGCTTGCACTGTGCCAATGACAGTCCCTGTGAATCACTGGTGACTTTCACAAAAACTCCCAGAAATGTGTCAAAATGGACCCTGCACTTAAAGAACGTGTCCTCTTCATTCACCGGGAAGTATGAGTGTAGCTTTACTCTGTTTCCAGAGGGTGTTCGGACTAAAATCTACAACCTGCTCATTCAGACAAATGGTAAGCATAACTGGGAGGGAAAGAATCCCATGCTTTCACTCAGCTCTCATTCATTCAACAGGCGTGTATTCTGAGCCAACCACATGCTAAACGTGGTGCTAAGTTCACAGAAGTTGAGCAGAAAGAGGTATTGCTTGGAAAGGAAGACAGGAATTAACCAAATAATTCCACAAACAAAAGTAAAATTGCAACAGTGATAAGTGGTAAGGACTACAACGGTCTTGTGAAAGAGCACGTAATAACGGCAGGGAAACTGACCCTCAGGAAACAACACCTGAGCTCTGAAGTCTGAGGAAGGAGTGGACATTAACACCATTTAGGATGTGGAGGTTTTTGAGTGATCCCTTACAGCTTGTGTAAGGGACTTTATAGTGTTTAAAGAAATGGGAAAATGCCAGCAGGCCTGCAGTGCAGAGGTTAAGAGATGAGGTGGGAGATATGGCAAGGACCAGATCGTGTCAGATCTTGTCAGCAAGGTTTCAAAGGTTTGATTTTTATCTAAGAGCCATAGGAAGACATTGAAGTATTCACAACAAAAGGATGGCATGACATTTATAGCCTGGCTATACTTGGGTCATAAAAGATTTTGCTGGCTTCAGTATAAGAATGGGGTGAAGGTGGGCCAGAAGGGAAAGGTGGGAGTGAACTAGGAGACCGTCCTCGTGGCCCAGAGGAGACAGAGTGTTAGTTTGGGTAGATATAGAAACAACAAATTGTGTGCTTTGGGCATAAAAGTGAGGGCAGTATGAGTGAGGGAGAGAGAAAAATTTAGGGTGACATCTGGGGGGGAGGTTGCCACTCACTGAAGGGAAAGGGAGCAGAGGAGGTTTGTGGGGGAAACTATGCAAGGTGCTTTGGATATATGATATATTTAGTATAGGGCAGGTAAAGGCACAAAGGCGGCGGCTGCACATGTAGCATTCACACATACTTGCTTTAGGGGGCTGCGTTTGGAGGCAGGAATCCTAAGCTTAAGTTCTAGCTCCTTTCTGGCCAGAAATAAATTTCACCTGGGGACTGTCATGTCCATTCTCTGAACCCATCTGGAAAATGATGATAATATTGCCTACCCCTAAATTAGTTGGTCCTATAGTAAATGGTTTCCATTTATACTAATGGAAAAGAATGAAAATGAAAGCCAACAAATGGAACATGCGCTGGAAATGAAGTGTTTTTAACTCAGGGGCAAAGTGGCCTGATAATATAAGAAAAAAGCAGCAAAAATTAACTCCTGAAGGCTGTGCTAAAAGAGGCATGGAACTGCCCAGGACGGGCAGCAGGGAGGGATTTATTACCCCCATCACTTCCTCTTCTTCCTTATCAGGAGATAAGGTGGTATTAGAACAGTCCACCTGTGGTCGTGGAGCTCCTCTGCCACTACTTTACAATGCCCTGTTCCCAGTGCTGTTGTCCAGGAAAAAAGAAATACTTGAGTTCAATTGGGGATGGGGTGGGGTGGAGTTGAATGAAGAGAAACAAGGAGACCTGTGTAGAACAGTGTCTACCTGCCCATACCTTGAAGTCAGGTAGCCTGGATTTGAATGTTGGCTCTGTCATTTATTAGAAGTATCATCTTTGTCAAGTTATTCAAGTCTCTAAGCTTTTGTTCTATTGTAGAAGAAACATGAATGGTTATAGTACCTCCTTCACAGGTACCATTATTTTGATGATTGAATGGGGTCATCTGTAAAGCACTTAGCATACTTCCTGCCAGACTGGAAGAGTTTGGTAAAGGGTAGTTTTCATCATTAAGAAGAGTAATAATGATAATGAGTGAACTCTATTTATCACTTCTTATTTATAATGGGTCCTACTCCCTCTCTTCCTGCATTTGTCTAATTTGGAACCCAGCCGAACATTGAACATACATTAGCCCAAGTACACATTGACCTTGGCTTTAGATTAAGATTTTGTACCTTTTGCCTAAATCTGTGAACTGTACTATTGCATCTCTGTGGGTCTAATGTCTACTCCATTGAGAATTGGCTTGATTCTCAATGGATTGATGTACCCTATAGGAAGTAAGTCATATGGGGACATGTCCTCATCATGAGGACAGCACTGGAGAAGAGGTAGTATGTTATCCAGAAAGGAGAGTGGTGTTGCCTTTAAGGAAAGTGTATTCCTTGAAATAAAGGGCAATTCAAAGAAACTAAGTTTGCAGCTACTAAAAACTGAAACTCTCAGGAGAGGCAGAAGCCATGTCTACATGCTTTGTGGTTGGAAGTATCCCAGATGATAACTTTGCTGTTGGTCAGCTGGACCAGATGAAAAAGAAAAATGGCCTCCATGTTAGAGAAATAGTTCTGCTACTGTGTATTGAGTACAAAGTGGGCAACATACAAAAGAGCAAAACAGAACAGGAAAAACCATCCTTCATTACAGAGTGACCAAAAATGTAAGCCTGGTAGAGCGCCAAGGGGCAGACACTTAACTCAGATGAAGCCGTTGCCTTTCGAAAGCCCTGTCAAGTCCCCACCCAATGACACACCTTTTCCCCCTTTATTCCTTTGATCTTCACTCACTTCTCCCATTTGTGCCATTTCCCTCGTACATCCCTGTGAGATGTTTGCAAGCTAGTTGGGTAAGCAAAGCACACGCGACGTGAAAACACTTACGAAGCTTGTGAACAAAGGTGAATTGAAGTGGTGTGTAAGAATCTAAATATGAAAATCTGAGGGACCACAGGCAGTTGGGACCTCTTGTTTCCTTTCCGTTGTGCTCTGAGCCATTCTGAGCCCTGTCTGTTCACAAAACAGTATATGCCTAAATTCTGTCCCTATGTTCCCGGGGCGGGGGCGGGGGGTGGGGGTTGCTGAGAAGGGATTCTGTTCTCTTGTCAAAAGATTTTGTTCCTTGGTGTGAGTTAGTGCTCCGAGGCTGTGGACAAGGATAGAAATGTAATAAACCGTTCAGCATTTGCTTCTTTTTCACTTTCACTTGCAAGGGTTTTCTTCAAGGTGAGCTTTCAAGTTACTCCAAGAAATGCAGTTTTCTGAGTTAAGCCCTGGGTTGTAGTAATCCAGGTTTCCTAGTTTGAATGCAGCTGGACCCACAGTGCCTGAGATTGTATGAGCTTGATGTGTTTTAAAATGTGAAGTTGCTGGGCTCTGTTATCAAAGTGCAACATGATTTTAATTTTCCAGATCACTACAAAAGCCTTAGAGGGCTGTTGATGTTGTGACTGAAAACATCAGTCTACTTCAGGAGAAGAAGTAGTGGTAATAGAAGGAGGAGGAGGAGTGGGAAAAGAAATACATAGAATCTAATAAGAAAAATATTCTATTCTGTTGTCAGTAAAAGAATATAATATATGATAATATAATCTTAATACTCTGAGTCTAACTACCTTGTCCATAATTTGTTCTCTGATGTTTTTTTTTCCAGTTTTACTGAACTATAATTGACATAAGACATTGTATTGGTTTCAGGTGTATGACATGATTTAAAAAAATTTTTTACCGTTTATTTATTACTGAGAGACAGAGAGAGACAGAGCATGAGCATGGGAGGGACAGACAGAGGGGGAGACACAGAATCTGAAGCAGGCTCCAGGTTCTGAGCTGTCAGCACAGAGCCTGATGCAGGGCTTGAACCCACGAACTGCGAGATCAGGACCTGAACGGAAGTCAGGCGCTCAACCGACTGAGCCACCCAGGTGCCCCGGCATGATGATTTGATATATAGATAGATAGATCTATGTAGCTGTCTATATATGTGTATAGTGAAATGATCATCACAATAAGTGTAGTTAATATCTATCACCTCACACAGTCGAATGTATTTTTCCCGTGATGAGAACTTTTAAGATTTACTCTCTTAGCAAGTTTCAAACATATGGTACATTATTATTAACTGTAGTCACCATGCTGTACATTATACCCCCAGAATTTATTTATCTTATAACTGGAAGTTTGTACCTTTTGACCACCTTCACCTATTTCGCCCCCACTCCCTGCCTTTAGCAACCACCAATCTGTCCTCTGTATCTATAAGTTCATTTTGTTCTGTTTTTGAAGATTCCACATATAAATGAAATTATACAGTACTTGTCTTTCTTTGTCCGCATAGTATAATGCCCTCAACGTCCATCCATGTTGTCACAGATGGCAGGATTTCCTTCTTTTTTTTTTTTTTTTTTTTTTTTTTTTTTATGCATGAATGATATTTCCTTGTACGTTAGAATATTTTCTTAATCCATTCAACCATCAGGACCCACTTGGGCTGTTTTTATGTGTTAGCTATTGAAAATAGTGCTGCAATGAACATGAAGATGTGTATATCTTTTTAAGATAATGATTTTATTTCCTTTAGAAATATACCCAGAAGTGGAAATGCTGGATCATAGGGTAGTTCTATTTTTAGTGTTCTGAGGAGCTTCCATACTGTTTTCCAGAGTGGCTGCAAAAATTTTACATTTCCACCAACAATGTACAAGTGCTCCCTTTTCTGCATATCCTTTCTAATATTTGTTATCTTTTTGGTAATAGCCATTTTAACAGGTGTGAGATGGTATCTTATTGTGGTTTTTACTGGCACTTCCCTGATGCTTGGGGATGCCCAACATGAAAAAATGATGTTGGGCATTTTTTCCTTGCCTTTGGGACACTTGGATATCTTATTTGGAAAAATGTCTATTCAATTTCTCTGGCCATTTTTAAATTGGATTATTTGTTTAGTTGTTGTTGAGTTGTGTGAGTTTTTTTTTTTTATATTTTAGATATTAATCCCTTATCAGATAACGTGATTTATAAATATTTTCTCCCATTCCATACATTGCCTTTTCATTTTATTGATATTTTTCTTTTCTGTTAAGAAGCTTTTTAGGTTGATGCAGTCCCATTGTTTATTTTTGCTTTTTTTGCCTTTGCTTTTGGTGTCTAATCTAAAAAATCATTGCCAAGGCCAAAAAAACCATTGCCCCTATGTCTTCTTCTAGGAGTGTTATGGTTTGGGGTCTTATGTTCGAGTAATTAGTCCATTTGATTTGATCTTTATGT